TCATGATTAGTGATGAGTTTATGTTCAGCTGTTTCGTATTGATAATGACGATCCTTGGCTACACTCTGAGAGAAGTCTCATCATAGCAGCATGCTTTGGTGCAAGTGTCTCAATGATGAACTCTGTGAAATACATACAGACTAGCCTTGACTACCCCTACCCTCTCTTTATCAGTGCCATGCACATGCTGTGGTCGTTCGGAGCTTGTGGCTTCTACTTGAGGCACGAGATGGGTATTTTGCAGCGTTACTCCCCTACACAGTATCTGCAACAAATTGTACCAATCTCGGTGTTCTCAAGCGCCAGCATCGCGTGTGGCAATCTAGCTTTGAAATATATTTATCCATCTTTCAACGAGTTATTACAGCAAACTAGCGCTGCTGTGACAGTTGTGGTAGGAGTTTTTATTTTCGGCAAGCGATATAATTTTGCTACTTATTTATCGATGTTGCCAGTTTGTGGTGGAGCGCTATTGTGCGGCCACGGTGAAGTCAACTTTGTTCTCCTAGGAGCTCTTTCTGCGATTGGTAGCGTCTTCTTTAGGGCATTGAAAAATACTATGCAAGGTGACCTCTTGAACGGATCGCTGTCCTCTCTTGAGCTGTTGTTCGTCCTTGCCCCTGCCAACTTGGTATTTTTCCTCATCGGCTCTCTCGCTGCTGAGGGGATCAGCCCTGTATGGGAGGCGGCCAGTAGTCCATCGATAATGTTGGGCTTGATAATATCATCATTCTTGGCATGTGCTTTTAACATTCTTACTTTTATGATGCTGAAACTACTGTCACCAGTAGGAGCCATGGTCGTACACTCTATGAAGACTCCTGGTATGCTCATAACGTCATGGGCGCTTTTTGGCAATCCGGTGGAGCCGACTCAAATTGTAGGTTTTGTTATTATCACTGCAGGCGTGTACTACTACCGGGTTAATGGTGGTGAAATTACTCCCGAGACGGTGTCGGCAGAGGTGGTTGGCCTTGACGCTAAAGTTGGGGAGAATTCTTCGGTGGACGATGATGAAGAAACATTCCCGGGAGATGATTCTAGCGGCTCTGGGGATCTCGAGATGGGAGATCTACGCTCGGAAATTGCTCTTGAATGAACTATTTTTTTTATTTCCTGCGATCGTATAAGTAGACCTATTTGTTGTTTGTGGCCGCAAGTTGGTATTGTGATTATGTTTTTTATGGACAGCGCTGGCTGTTTTGTTGACTCCATGGTGTCAATATAAGGGAGATGTACTTATGATGTTCAT